AGCAAAACTCCGTCTCAAAAAAAAAAAAAAAAAATTAAAAACAATACAGGACATGGATGAAAAATTCTCCGGAGATGTAGATGTAATTTAAAAAAAAAAAACGATTGGCCAGGTGCAGTGGCTCACACCTCTAATCCCAGTAGTTTGGGAGGCCAAGGCAGCAGATATCCTGAGGTTGGGAGTTTGAGACCAGCCTGACCTAAATGGAGAAACACCATCTCTGCTAAAAATACAAAAATTAGCCAGGTGTGGTGGTGCATGCCTGTAATCCCAACTGCTCAGGAGGCTAAGGCAGGAGAATCGCTTGAACTCATGAGGCAGAGGTTGTAGTGAGCCAAGATAGTGCCATTGCGCTCCAGCCTGGGCAACAAGAGCAAAACTCCATCTCAAATAAATAAATAAATAAAATAAAATAAAAATAAAGGAAAACCTATCAGATTAACAGCAGATTTCTCAGCAGAAACTCTACAAGTCAGAAGCGACTGAGGTCCTATCTTTAGCCTCCTCAAACAAAATAATTGACAGCCAAGAATTCTGTATCCAGCAAAATTAAACCTCATATATGAAAAAGAGAAAGTTTTTTTCAGACAAACAAATGCTGAGACAATTTGCCACTACTAAGCCAGCACTACAAGAAATTATAAAAGGAGTTCTAAATCTTGAAACAAAACTTTAAAATATACAAAAATAGAACCTCCTTAAAGCATAAATTTCACAGGGCCGCTGGGCACGGTGGTGTGTGCCTGTAGTCCCAGCTACTAGGGAGGCTGAGGTGGGAGGATTGCTTGAGTCCAGGAGTTCTGGGCTGCAGTACACAATACTGACCGGGTGTCTGCACTAAGTATGGTGACCTCCCGGGATTGGGGGACCACTAGGTTGCCTAAACAGGGGTGAAATGGCCCAGGTCGGAAATGGAGCAGGTCGAAACTCCCATGCTGATCAGTAGTGGGATCGTGCCTGTGAATCGCCACTGCACTCCAGCCTGGGCAACATAACAAGACCCTGTCTCTAAAAAAGCAAAAAAGAAAACGAAAAAAAATTTCACAGGGCCTATAAAACAATAAAGCAATGAAAAACAAATGAGGTATTCAGGCAACAACTAGCATGATAAATAAAACAGTACCTCACATCTGAATACTACAGATGAATGTAAATGGCCTAAATGCACCTCTGAAAAGATACAGAATGGCAGAATGGATAAAAATCCACCAACCAAGCTGGGCATGGGGGCTCACACCTGTAATCCCAGCATTTTGGGAGGCTGAGGCAGGTGGATCATGGGGTCAGGAGTTTGAGACCAGCCTGGCCAACATGGCAAAACCCTGTCTCTACTAAAAATACAAAAATTAGACGGGTGTGGTGGTGCCCACCTATAATCCCAGCTACTCAGGAGGCTGAGGCAGGAGAATCACTTGAACCTAGGATGCAGAGGTTGTAGTGAGCCGAGATTGTGCCAT